GCAATATCCTTGGGGAGGGCATAATTATTAATTAATAGGCATTATAGGCCAGAAGAAATTTTGTGCCCCTTCACACCTGTGCCCAGGGGCAACTTCCCCCCTCTTGCTACGCCACTATATCCTCTCAAACACTGGTAAGATTTTGTTAAAGATCACAAGTATCTTGTACACAAAGAATGACATAATGTTTTTACTACAAATATGTTATCTATCTATTGTAGTTACTTACACTCAAGCTCTTAACAAATGAAGTGCAAGGTAATTTTCGTTTTAATTATAAAAATACTTTTCTTCAACTTATAGCTTTCATATTTCATTTGCATAGAACCTCCTAAAAGAATATCAAGTTTTTAAGGTAAATGTTTATATTTTACTTTTTTATTTTATCTACCATATCACTAACTTTAGCTATTATCACCAACCTACAATGCAATGAAATAATTAAAATTAGGAAATAGAAAAAAATATGTACCTTTTAAATTTTTTAAGGATATCCATAAAATTTTTGTTCTTTTCACATATAGTTAATTTTTAATGTTTTAATTTCCTTATTTGTCCTTTAACACTTATTACTCATCTCAACACAAGTCAATGGTACCCTCAAGGCATATTACAATGTCTCTGGCAGACATGCACAACTCTTTGGCAATATTTTTGTTCACTGCATAATACCATAAGCCTTGAGAACTGACACAAAGTGTGATGTACATTTAAAAAATGTTTAAACTTTTCAATTATGCATTTTAAAACATAACTAATACATAATTAACTAAAATATAAAAGTAAGACCTAAATACAATTTAAACTGTATCTCTAACTATAACATATTTAAGTAAAAAACAACCGTAAGTGCTACAGTTGATCAAGCAGCCAACAATACTACAGTCAGTTACATGTGGTGCCAAATACATGCCAATTTCAAAATAACCATTGTTAGATTATTGTTCAAAATGAGCTCTTTCTAATGACTATACACATGTGTATGTAACATCTACATGTAGGTTATAAAGCTCAAACAAATCTGTTGAAGGTGGGTGCAGCACCTGTCAGGGGTTGAAAAAAAATTATTACTTGTTTCAACTGCATTCATTCAGAGAACTTTGAAATGTACGAGTCAGAGGGTTATGTAAGCATCTTATAGTTTAGACCTACATCTACAAAACTGTCATTGTATTGTTGAAAGTACAGAGTGCCAAAGTAGAGAATTTTAATAGCTTGTTGGTCACGTGACAATACCTCTGAAGTTTTATGTAGTTTTTCAAATATTTCTTTTGAAATAAAGGACTTAAAACTTAGGTAACATAAAACTTCCAATAATAACATACATTATAATGTTAATTTCATTCACATACATTGATAGTAAAAGTGTTGAATTAAATTTTGCAGAAAAGTGTTTAAAGAAGTACCCATTGCACAGGTATTCACTGAAATAGCAAATACAAAAATGAACATATCTAATGAATTTAAGCAGTACTAAAGCTTACATAGGTAGCTTACATACCAACTGGAAGCCACACCAATCAGAAATAAGGTTTCTTGCACGAAAGAAATGCTCAGCTGATGTCCGTTTGTAATCCCTTGGACATGGATATCTATTTCTGATGGGCTGTACTTCTCTTTCTAGGTCTAGTATATCCTGTGAGTATTTAGTTGTTCCTCCAATCCGTACAACAACCCTTAATACATGAGAAAAGATAAACACATCAGTTTATGCTCTACTCACAAGTATTACAAGTTTTTAAATCTCAGCACCATAATATATCTCAAACCTTTCTGGGCTGGAGAGATGCCACTGGTATTCTAATTTTTTAGTTTCTCACAGTGAAAATACTTAATCTAACTGGATGAAACTTTGTACAAACTAACTATATAGTAACTAGTTTCAACTTAAAATGATTCATTTAATTTGATTTAGTATTTATATAATTTTTAGGTTGTGAGTTTTCAAAAATTTGAAAAGAATCATTAAAAATACTTCTTTCTTACTTAGAGTTTGAACTTATTGTTGATCAGAAAGTTCAATTTCATATGTCCAGTAAGATTCAAATTTATATCTGTTAATATTTCTTTTGATACTTTATTCTGCCAACTTCAGTAGTCACCACTTCTGGTTATAAATAATTAAAAACACAGCAAAATCATACAAAGATTACCAGTGACCTACAGTCCCATCTTTCAAAATGCTATCACCATGATTTTGTTTAGAATATTTTCAGTTGAGACAAATTATATGTAATAAATATGTTTTTTTCACTAAATGCTAAGTTATTTTATTCATGTACTTTGCTTAGATATGTTCAACTCAACAATATTCAATAAATAAGGATCTAAGTCATTGGAACATTTTGCTATTTCCTACTGTACTTGCTAAACCTAAATAAGCTTACTTGAAGTCTTGTTATAGCTTGTTTACAGATACAGTTTAACACAAAATCATTTTCAGAAATGAAAAGAACCTCCAAAGAAAGTATATTAAATGTTCACTATTAGAGGAACTCAAGACATTCAACATCTCCAATAACCACAACTTACTCCTGCAAAGAAAATGTTTACTCTGTATTGACACAGATAATATATAGTTTGCTCTATCCAATCATAGATGAATGTTAATGATAGTTATTTTCAAAGTTAAGCTTCATTAGTAAATATACAGACAACTTGCTGTGACATCATAAAAGGTGGCAGCAAGGGGCTGTAGGAATAAAACTACTAATGGAAAATAAAAATCAGGTGAGACAAAAATCATTATATTTTCAAAGGATAATTTCTTAGCAATTATAAATACATAGTCTGGAATGGGAAAAAAATAATTATAAATGTGTTGCTTATAAGCAAGACTTCTTGAAGCTCACAGAAATGAAAGATGAAAATTGTTTTCAATTTTTCTTTATGAGTTACGCTGAAGAAATATTACAAAATATGGATTCTAAAATATTTTTGGTTAAAAATTGTTGATATACAGTGAGATTTTTGTTTTTAATTGTGAAAGGTGATATGCAGGTGTGCACTAATCTTATTATAATGGAGCTTGCAGTGTATATGTCCAAAACTTGTATATCAGCAAATACCACACCAACCATAACTGGGTGATATTTTTATAACTAGGCAGTATTTTTATAGCTGAGCAATAAATAAAACAATTGAAATTTCCACAAAAATGATATGTTTCAAATTTAACCAATAACAATTATGAACAAAAAGGAGTAAGTTTCAGATTTAATCAATAAAAACTACAAAAAAATATAAAACAATCAAAAACAAACTTAAAAAAAACTATTTGTATTTCTTTAGTGAAAATCTCATGAGTGTTGCAACAGAAAAGCAAGGCACTTTCATTGATAACTGCATCTACAAAGAAATACTTCAATAAAATCTACTCTGTGATGTAATGCTGTGATGATAACTCATTTTTAAATTAAAATTTCAATAAAGTCATTTTTCTCATGGATTGTGAACATTGTTGTAGAACTGTCAGAAAATTCCAGAAAAGGCTGCAGGCCCAAGAGCCTTCTGCAGGAACTGGCAGTTATACTTGCCCGAAGGGTAGGTATTTATGCTAGTCACTTAAAAGGTATTCGCTGATTGTGGTAGGGTTAACCACAGGTATAAATTTAGTAAATGTAAAATCTGATACAGGGTTTCATTCTTTGGAAACATCTATCTTTATTTGAAATCAAAGATTACCAAGATAACACTAACCCTTCTTTCTCGGTGGGGTCCAAAGGTAATCTTCCTCCAACATCAACAGCTGAAGCTACCATGGTAATGTAGATAGTCTCACTCTCTGGCCATAAGTAATCACGAAATATTTCTTCTATCTGCCTCAACCGATCGTTCTGAAACATATCTTCAACATTCATGTTGGAGAACTTCATTTCTACTTCGTAAACTGCTTCTTCTGTGAAAGGATTTAGTAGATTTTACAATATATATTCCAAATAAGCTATAAACATTGATACTTTGGACATTTGTAAAGAATTTGATCTAAAATTTAACTTTGACCTGAATTCCAGAAAGGAAAAAAAAATGCTTACCCAACCAGTAGTGGTGAAATGATATGTGTACTGATTATACTGAGTATTACAATCATGTTGAATAGTATAGAAAATCATTAATCCTGTTCATTCTATTATAAATCTAGTGGGTGGCCAGTATTTTTGCCATGCAAGTTTAAGTATGTTTTTGTACTATTTAATTCTTTTATAAATGATGATGGCTAAACGAGTGATCAAAATGTTGTAATGAAATTAAACACAAAATAAAAATAAACAATCCACTCAAGAGCTGTATCTCTGGAATTTTATATTCTACATTAAGTTACTTTTTATAATTCATATAAACTGCACTGAAGATCAAATACTCAGTGAGTATATTTAATTGAATATGAGGTCAGAAGAGTGTGAAGTCAAGTTATATTTTGTACAAACACTTGACCAAAGTAAGCTAACTATATAGATCAGGGCTAAAGTAATATTTTAAACATCTTATAAATTAATGAAAACAATCCTGTATAGTAAACTTAATAGAAATATTTATTGTTAATACCCTCAAATTAAAAAAAAGTAAACCTATAATTATTAGAATAAATTGTAATTGTGGTGATACTTAGTTCTCAGGGTGTAAAATTCCCAGGTTCTTCATTTTTTATAGGAATGCATCATTTATATTTGGAAGTGGAAGAATCAAGCTCACTCATACCAGCAATAATGTAAGCATGCAGCCTTAAAGAACCATCAATAATTTAATAATAATTGCTGATATTTAAGAACTGTTTTAAAGACTTTTTTATTTTTCCAACAGGTAGATTGTATTATTACATTTTATTACTTTGTTAGAAATCTTTATCCCTTCATATCATGAAAATGGAAAACATTTTCTGAAAATATTGATCTTTGTGCAAATCCCATGTTTTATCACATCATTCATAAGATAACAGTAAATTTAACTGAGACTAAAAAACAATTCACTAAGTTCTCTTAGTCATTATTATTACTAATGCTTATGTCAATGAGCAGTTTTCCCTTTCTGAAAGATAATGACATGATCATTGACTAGAGGTCCTAGAGTGATATAAAACAAATCAACATTATATTAAAAGTATAGACTTTAATTATGCCGAATTCTCTCTCACTGATCAACAATCTATGTTGCAGTTATGAATAATACAATCAATTAAAACTTAACATGACTGGTTCACATAATCAAATGTTAAAAGTTATTGAAGTAATGTGAAAACATTAGAAATGCAAACCCAACTGGCAGACTTACGTACATTAGCCTCTAATACTTTTTGCTCAACAAATGTCACTGTCATTTTGATGCATACTTAATGCAAACTGTTAGATTACCACAGATAGTACTCATTTTTATCAATTGATTTTTATGTATTTTGCTATATAATATTGTCACACACTGACAGTAACTTTCAAACAAAAAATGTACTGTAAATTCATGCATTATAGATATATGCCATTTTTTTAGTTTGTTCTTAACAACTGAAAGCTTAATTTGTGGCAATATTTTTCATTTTCTTACAGAAACCAGTTGTTTGACAAAATATTATATTGTGCTAGTCTGTCTCATATATAAACAGCAGAAATAATAGCTTTATAGTGACATACATAGCCCAAAAACAATACAAAAAACACTGGTTGAAAAGATATTTACACATATACAATAACAGAATTACATGTAAAATTCAAATTCAAGATATTATTGTTCATTAATGCAGTTTTTATTTGAATTGCCAGATCAAATCTTCACAATGCAAAATAAATAAAAAATAATCTACCTGTTTAATAATTTTTTAGAACCAAAAGGAATTAAGGAAAATTTTTTCATTTGATATTCAAAATTATGAATTATTTAAAGATAGCCTTAGATTTTTATCATCATAGTTTTTGTTTTTTTTCAAAGTGTATTTCATAACAGTTACAGGCTAGTTCTGGAACTTTTCTATGTGGGGTTTAGAGGCCTATAGGATCCTTCACCTTTGTGGAAATGTTACAATTTCCATTAGGGTATGAAGATCATATGACTAAAGAAAATACACATTTGAAAGTTGAGCTTTGCACTCTGGCAGCAAAATGTATATGCAGTCCTACTAATTGCTGCAAAGTACCACAAATTGATTACGACTACATGTGCAATAAATGTTCTCGGTCACAACTACATTGTAATTTCGTTTGTAAAAACCATCAAAATAGGTCATTAGAATAAAGATTATGCTGTTTTATCAATTCATTACAGTATCTTTTGCTAATATTTTATGTTATGCAGGTATATAATAAAACACTAGATATGTTATCTTTCCTCACTTTAAAAAGTTTTCTTACCATAAAGTACTTCACTGTATGACAATAATGTATTTTTGCTCCAATTATATATATGTTTTGTGCCTTATTTTCAGGGCCCTCGAGAGAGACCAAGAGGGAAGCTCTAGACTTTTAGTAATTTAGCAATATTTTAAGTCTTAATACCACTAAGTTACGGCTTAAAGTGCCGATTTCCTTTGTGAAATTTTACGTGGACAAAGAACGGCCTTTAACAATCAACAATATCATTTAGAGAAAAGAAAAAACATAAACATCTGTTCATTTAATTGGATAATTTATTGAAAGTTTAAACACATTGTCAAGAATTACTTTAATGAGTTCAGTAATGCAGAATTGTGATAACTAAACGAAACATGCTTTACGTGCCTTTTTTAAAGCAAATGTTTTTATCATTTCACTGAAGTCAATTCTCCCCGCAAGTTCGCTCTCATTACTAAGAACGGCTAGGTCATTCAGTCTCTCCTGTGTTATCGTGCTCCTCAAGAAGCTCTTGATGAGTTTTAGTTTGATGAAAGACCTCTCAGCAGATGCTACTGTAACTGGCAATGTGCAGAATATTCACAGTGCAATACATACATTTGGAAACATGCCATCTAACTTGTACCTTTTTATTGTTTCTAAAAGTTGATATGGCCCCATATCTTCACAAAAGTTTGATGCATGTATTGCCTTCAGGTGCACCATTTCCTCTTGCATGGGTTCTGAGAGATCGTATTTGTCCACTAATCTTGCGGATGCAAGTTTTAGTTCCTGATGTCATGCTTTGATATTGCCACAGAATGCAAAACAATCTAGTAATTGTGTTTGCAGCGTCAAACTGCTTTAACACTCCGTCATTCAGCAAATCAATGACAACAAAGAAGACATTCCGTTTGAATTCAGATTCAGGCTCATCAGAGCCATCACAAGGATTTTCTAGGACGTTCTCCCCTTGTTCATCATCTTCCTCAATGACAATAAGTCTTGCTCTTTCTTTAACTTTCTGTTTTAATGGGAGATGAGGTTCAATTTCGATTTCCTCAGCAACCAGTTTCGCTTCATTTAAAATCTGTGACCATTTCCCACATAGTTCTTCAAGATCGGTCAAGAGCGACTCTAGATTTGAGACCTCTACATCCACTGTAGCATCTCTTGCTTGGATGATCTGATTTCTCCTGTTGATCTGTACGAGAATCTTCAGGCACATTCAATGACATACGGATGCAAATGAAGGATGACACGTATTTGATTACACCATTGACTTCATTAATGGTTTTTGGCGTGAGGTTGAGAGACAGAAGTTTTTTTAGCACGAGTCCTTTTTCACCAAGATGAGCTGCAAATGGTCTCAAACTTGCCACTCAGTCTGTCCAATGAGTGCCTGACAAAGCATGGATGGATTCACCCACATGCTCCTTGAGAATTGCCCAGCACTGAGGACTGGAAGAAAACAAATTGTAAACTGTTTGCACTACTCCAAAAAAATTTAACTGCCTCCGTGCAACATGATGCAGAATCTACTCCACATAAGTTTAGTGAATGGCAGGCACATGGAGAATAAATGTATAGTGGATTAACAGCAAGTATGTGCTGTTGGGTACCATTGTACTTGCCAGACATGTTGGGAGCATTATTATAACCTTGTCCACAACAATCTTTAACAGGTATCCCTAAATGTTTGAGTGTTTCCATAATCAGACTTGCTAATTCAGCCCCCATCTTCTTACAACAATCAACAAAGGTTAAAAATCGTTCTTGAACTGCAAATTTGGTATCATCCTTGGCCAAATAACGATTGATGAACGTTGTCTGCTCCTCATGGCTAGAATCCGGTGTTGCATCAACCATGATTGAATAATATTTTGTGGCTCTTATTTCATCCAAAATGTGACTCCGAATATAATCTATGCAGATAGTGAACTTGAAGCCATTCACTTTTTTCTTGCAAAGCTTGTGTCTTTGCAACATGTTCGGCTAGAACTGGATCGTAATTGGCCAGGAGTTCAATGATCCCCAAGAAGTACCCAAGTCCTTATTGGGCAAGAAAAATTACTACATCAATTATCCTCGTAAGTATATTTCTCCATTTCTCAGTCTCACTCATGATTACTTTGTGAGACATTACATCAATCCCAGTATCACTTTCTAACCTCTTCTCAAACTCACAGCATGCTAGATAACAGTTCTTGTGTGCTGTACTGCTTTCATGTTGAGGCAACCTGTCAAACAGCTTTTTCCATTTCTGTTCTGTACCCCAGCCTTGTTTGGATGCCATGATCGACTGTGACCTTTGCAGTTGTGAGCCCACTGTATGAAAGAAAAGCCATGCTAGATAACAGTTCTTGTGTACTGTACTGTTTTCATGTTGAGGCAACCTGCCAAACAGCTTTTTCCATTTCTGTTCTGTACCCCAGCCTTGTTTGGATGCCATGATCGACTGTGACCTTTGCAGTTGTGAGCACACTGTATGAGAGAAAAGCCTACAAGGCAAGCAATACAAGGACAGTTTTCCAGGACTGAATACAAGCCATTGTCTGCTCTTGCTTTTGCCATTTGGTGTTCTGACTTTGAGAACAGACATTGGAAATTTTCGTCTGGTAAAATCATTAGGGAAATCATTTGGGTGTGGCAGAGACTCTTTCCAAATCATGTCTTCTATATATTCTTTAGTTGGGATGTCAGATGGGCAAAGATCAATATCAACCCCATATGTTTTAGGCTTGTTTTCTGTTGAATGCTGGCTCTTGTGGCCTTCTTGGGCCGTCTCTGCACATGCTTCTGTCTGTGTTTCTGGGATTTCTGGCCCAGCTGGCAGTTCATGTTGATCTTCTATGTCAAGCCTACCATCATGAATATAATTTCCAGCTGGTATTAACTGAGCCTGCTGAGGTAGGCCTATGTACTGTATTTGTATGCTGCTGATCTTGCTGGGAGTCAACCTCAAATAACGTCCGACAATCCCTGATCACTTCCTTCTCCCTTTCTTGCCGAGCCTCCCATTCACGTCTCTTTTGTGCACCGAATTTGTTCTGGTAAGAAGACATGATGGAAATTCTGAAAGGAATGAAAAAAAACTGCAACATTTAAGACCAAAAATCAACCTAATATTTCAGTGGGGTTTTGGACAAAATTTTTGGGACAAAAAAAGCTCTACATTTCTGAATTTTTACTCCTCCTGTTCATAATTTCTGACTACCTGTGAGAGTGCTTTGTTAGTATATAGATTATAGATACTTGTGTATTTTTCCATTTAATGCACAAAACATTAGCTATTGCACTGCTAAAGCATTTATTATAACTTAATAACACACGTATCTATTCTAAGGACGTATAAAGCAAATAAAATAACATGTTATGCAAAAAATAAATAGTTGGGTTTTTGGGTTTGGGTTGTCGGGTACTAATCCTGATTTTTTTTCAGATATAAACTTTTATAGTAATTTAATATTTCATCATTAAAAAAAATTATAAATCACCAGGATTTATTTTAATTATTAATGTTGAAGTATGCTGAGAAATCTCCAACTAATATTCAATAGTAACTCTACTGTAAAAAATCTGGAAAAAGATATATTTTTAAGAGTATCTACAAAAGAGTATAGCTCTACTATAATCATTTATTCCTTATCAATTCTGTTATATGTTATGAAACTAAACACATTTTTGTACTATTTTTAGTTTAGATACTAAATTTCTGTATACATATTTTAATTTAAAAATTTCTGTTTTGCCTCAATTTGATCGAGATCCATTGATTATTAACGATTTGGAAGAGTCACGAATCAACAGGAAATGAAAATGAGTAATTTACAAAATTCAGTTAGGTTAGGCT